GTGCAGAGTTCGTGGCAGGCACAGCACTTTGTGAACCTCGAAGCGTAGAGTTGGTGACATACAGCACTTTGTGAACCTTGAAGTGCAGAGCTCGTTGCAGGTACAGCACTTTGTGAATGAGGTGCAGGGCTCGTGGCAGGTACAGCGCTTTGTGAGCCTCGACGTGCAGCGTTCGTGACCGGCGCAGCATCCTGGCGTGGTTCCACCCGCGTGCCCTCTGGTCACTGTGGGCAACTCACTCACTCACTCATTCTTTCTTTCTGTCGTTCATTGATTCATTCCTGCGTTCGTTCGTTCGTTCCTTCCTTCTTTCCTTCGTTCGTTCGTTCGTTCGTTTGTTCCTTCCTTCCTTCCTTCCTTCCTTCCTTCATTCATCCATTCATTCATCCGCTCATTCTCTGTGCTCTGGTGGCTGTGTTCTCAGATGTGTGCCCTCCTTGAAGTGCAGATTTCAGCGCAGACGCAGCACTTGGTGCTCTCAGACGCTCACTCACACACGCTCACACTCACACTCACTCTTCCCTCACACTCACATTCACACTCGCACTCACCCACATTTACATTCGCACTCACACTGACACTCACACTCACTCACACTCGCACTCACACTCACTCACACCCACTCTCATCCACACTCACTCTCAATTCCACACCCACTTTCACACTCACTCTCACTCACACTCACTCTCACTCACACTCACCCTGACCCACACCCACTCTCACTCAAAGTCACTCTCACTCTCACTCAAACTCACTCTCACTCTCACTCACACTCGCATTCACACTCACATTCACTCACTCCCCCACCCTCACTCACACTCACACTCCCTCACACTCACACTCACACCTTGCACTCACTCTCACTCACTCTCACCCACCCACACTTGCACTCTCACTCTCACTCACACGCACTTTCACTCTCACTCTCACTCTCACACTCACACTCACTTTCATCACCACCATCACCTCTTTGGACCCAATGCGTCTAGATCTCTACGCTTTCTGCTTATAGACCTCACACAGACTGTTTGGGGTCTCTTGCCGGGATAATTTTCTTAATATAGTTGTAGGTCCGTAGGTCCGAGGTGGCAGATGGGAACCACATTGTTCACTTAACTATACTATACCTGGTTTTGTACACGATAGCCGATGAATGTTGAAAGCGTCGGCACCAGTAAAGATTGATGATCGTGATGCTCCAAGCCAGCCGCCATTGCCCTGTTTCAGGCACAGGAGGCCAGCGGAACTCAATGGCCCCGACCTTGCTATGTGCACCGTTCGTGCTGGACTCCTGACCCACTAGGATAGATAGAAGAAGAACATGGCCGTCCAATGCCGCTGCAAGTGTGGCGATGGAGTGGCATACACAAAACCAAGGGACACTTGCCAATGGAGTGCCTATGGGGCTGGAGGAATTGGGTCTCATTCAGTGGCACCGGTTTCAACCGCCTCGCAGTTCTGGGAGGACGGGATGTGCAAGACGAGCGGCACGCATTGCTCGGACCTCGAGCGTCCTGAGTTTTTGTGCATTAAAGTGCGCTGGTGGGGCGGACTTCGAGTTCATTGAACTTCTTCAAGGAGCACATTTGGGCATTGCTTTGAGGAGAGCCATTGACATAAGGTAAGAATGTGATGTGTACCTGACCTCCTGATTTCTTTGGACGAAGCTGAATGGCTACACAGTTTGGCCGCAGTGTTAAGCTTTGTGTTGACAACCTGAGCCCACCACATGCCAAATCTGGATTCTTTCCGGTCAGAACAGTCGACGATGAACAGCGTACTTGGAGCTGGCCATGTATTTGGCGTGGAAAGACTTCAAATTCGACTCCTCCACACCCATGCGAAGCAAAGGTAAGCTCAGGTTGAGCCTAAAGAAAAGGGGACGGTGTCGGTGATGTTGCGGTTGAGCATGTGGCAGCAGGTCAGCAAAACGTGTGGAGGTCACTTCATCAGACGTGGGAGTGCAGAGAGATGGAAGTAGAAGAATTGATTTTTTGGAGCTGGTGTACCGAATCGGCGGAAGAAGGGCAGCGCGTGCAAAAATTGGCTGAGAAGGTGCACGCCGCAGCTTTGCAAGGATGATTTGTGGAATAAAGAGTGTTCAACTGGCGTGCTGAAGCCTTGAAACTGGAAAGTATTTTTTCTCCGACTTTATATAGTCTTCCAAAGTGCAAGGCTAGACAAGACCTTGAGAGGGTTCTCTTCAGCCGAAACTTTGCCTTGCATTGCAAGAGTTCAAGAACATTCAAAAACAGGATGCCAGCTGGGGTGGCGCCTCCGGCCAGCTCAAACAAAGTGGCCTAACCAGGATGACCGATTCAGTTCATTTTGTGTGAAGCAAGTGGCCCAAATTGCTGGTCAGGTCAGCTCCAGAGAGGGGGTTGTCAAGGGTATTTGATCGCCAGCCGCCATGCAGTTGCAGAGTGCCTAGACCTCAATTTTTCGGCTCAATGATTTTCTAAGGAAGGGGTGTCACAAGGGTGAAGCAGGTTTGCACAGAATCCTTCACATGATTCACATGAGATCAAGGCCGCTAGAAAGTCAAACCTGATGAACTTGAGCTGATAATTTTGTTGTAGAGAATGACCAGCCACGTGACTGTGCGATGGTACGTGGATGACCAAGAGGCTGGATGAGCAAGTAGATTAGTAGATATTATATAGTAGATTTCTTGCTTGAGTTGGGTTCGATCGAAACCAATGCAGGTGCCCGACACATCACAATCTGGGCGCTTGAATGTCGTGGGCGACAACTTCCCGGTATTGAAACCAATGGGAAGATTGAAACACCCCAGGCGAGGTCATACATGGATGTTGAGTTTAGTGCATATTTGGATCCCGGGACGGCATCCCGCAGCTGAAGCTACTGTGATAGATTCGCACGCCCATCATGTCCAAGCATGAACGGCAGGGCTAGTGGAGAGCTTGGATAACTTGTGCGAACTTCCGCATCCTCTGCAGGGCTGACGGCAGCTTCGTGTTGAGCAAGCTGACCAGTGAGCCCCATTTGGAGGACGAAATCAGTGAGCAGGTGGAAGCCCAGGCCAACCTGATCCAACTAGGTCATGCACTTGCCCAAGCAAAGGACACCCAGAATTGGCCTTGCGTGTTTGTGTGCATGTTGTGTGCGCAGGACTGTACAGTGACCATCTCCCATGGCAACTTCCATGGTCGCATTACTTTCGAGACCAGAGAGGCCCAAGCTTTGGACCGGTCCCTGGAGGAGTCGTTGAACTGGAAATGCCACCCTAGTAGAACGGATCAACGGATCAGGTACACTCTGACTCACTAACATGGAAGTGGAAAATGGTCCGACTACTTTCCTATACAAAGTTTTTTCCACTTCCATGTTAGTGAGTGTTGAAGGCACCCAGGCCAGTGTGGTTTCATCCTTCCCATTTTGAGGTCTAGGAAGTTCCTACTCAATGAACCTAATTACAGTATATATATATATACCGTATATAGAACATATTGGATTCGATGGGCGGCCCAATGCTCCCCCCGACACGTTTTCTTCTTCCAAAGTTCCACCAAGACCTTGCGGGGTTTTGTTTGTTGCTCAGTCACACTACTGTCATCACTTTCCAGTCGTGCCACTAACTGACGGCTTTCAACCTGTCCTTTATTGCTTTGTTCTGTTCTATGGCAGATCCGTGCATTTGTATACAGAAGTCTTTAAGCAAAGGTGTGATGTGATTTGCTTGGGCGTCTGACGCATAACCTTGGGGAAGTGCTTCGGACCTCCAAGAGAGGAAGCGATGGCGTTCTTGCAGACTGCCCTGAAGAAGGTTGCGTAGGGGATCCCCAGCAAGAGGAGTTGATAGTATTTTTACACTGTTTTGCGGTGAGGATGCAGTCCTGATGTGCAAAGGTTGACCCGTTGTTAGGTCCACCTGAGGCTCGCACTTACGGAAAAGCAAGCCAATGGACGATTATTCAGTTGTTTGTCATATTCTCCTTCAACTGCACTCTGCCCAGGAAGCAAACTCCGCCAGCTGTTCCTGCCGCTGTGGTGCCCGTGCCGAAGACTGACTCCCCTTCCGAAGCACACACACACACACACTTTCCTTGTTTGCTGCTCCTCTGATGAATCGTGCGCACTGCATGATGGCATCTGCAGGAAGACTGGGACCCAGAAGAGGCGACATATTGATGAAGCTTTCACGTGTTGACCTCAGACGAGGTGAGTCGAATTCTGCATGACCGTGGCACCTGCCTTCTCTACTTCTGCTCGCGACATCGCTCAGGGAGATGTCCCTGCATGGGCGCTCGGAGCTGCTGGGTGTCCAACACAAGGTGCGAGGAGGATGAACCCACCTCTGGGTGGTTCAGATTCCGTTTTGTGGGAGAAGATCCTTCTAAGGTGGAGGAAGTGTCTTCAAAGCGGAGAGCCATTGACTCAAGGCAGGGTGGCGGAGGATGCAATGAGTGGGCTTTCGTTCATGCTCGAAAAACCATCTCAAAAAGTCTTATCGTAGATGAAGAACGGCTCACATTCTTTGCTCTTTTTGAGCAGTGCTCGTGTCTATTTGCATCAGCAGCTGCACCCTATCCATTGAAATTCATTGTGGCAAACCGTTGGTGGACGACCACCGTTCTGCTTTGGAGGACGACCAGCTCACCGGAACAGACCTCGTCGGGGTCCCGAGTGGCTCACAGTCACCGTTTCGACGCAGCCTTCCGCCGTCCGATCCTTCAGGAAGCGGATTGCTCGCATTCCGATCCGTGCGCCGGATGCTCAGGGAGAGCGTCTCTCCAAATCAGGCAGCTCTGAAAGAGACCTGCGGGGTTTTGAGAGGCTTTTCAGGGATTGCAGCGGATGCTTGGCATGGGTTCCGCTTCCCGTCGGAGCGGGCGCAGTTGAGAAAAGCCTCCTTTTCAATCATGTCACTTTGGCGTGTAGTGCATATATATATATATTATATTATATTATATTATTATTATTATATAATGGTCCTTGTGAGGAGTGTCCCACATTCGATCCGAATCCAGAAAGTGAGTTTACAGATTTCCTTGAGGGCACCAGCGTTAGCTACCCAGGCCAGCTCCGTCTTCAAGCATCTTGCAACGCAGACCATCGAAGACACCTCAGGAGCCTTCTTGGGGCGCGGGGTGTGGAGGATGGCTTTGCTGAGTAAGGACCGCTGATGTAGCTGGTGGTTTCGAGGCTGCATGTGTCATATGTTTGACAGCTGACAAAGAGGGCCAAGGAGTACAGTACAGCCTAACCACTTGCTGGTGATTCTGGATGCAAATCTGCAGAGCTTTTGTTAGGTTAAAATCCATCGGTTTTGCGGCACTCATGGCACGCAGTATAACTATTCAAGTCCCTTCCGAGGACTCCTCTCTCTATGGCGGCTATCGCCCCGCCATTTCGTTCGGCCTACAAAACCTGGGCGCGGCCCTTGATAGTGCCCAGGTTTATTGCCGATGATCTCCTTTGTATCCCCAAACGTGGCCTGGGACTTTTTGTTGACTTGGTGTTGCTTAGTCATGACTCCAAAGGTGTCGACGCCTCCAGATATTCTATTGGCACACCAGTCAACAAACAAGTGTTGTCCCACAGCTACACCTTCACGCGCGGGCAAGCGGCCAAGGCAACACGTGCTACCTGAATGCCATTACTCAGGCGTGACTGCTGAGGGGCCTGGATGACCGAGCAGTTTTCTTCCAGCCATTGATGCGACATGCGAAAAGCACCACCCATTATCAGCGGCCAGCATGAAATCCCATGTTGCATTGGTCTCTCTCTCTCTCTCTCTGTTTACATTTGCGTCCTTCCATTTTTGTTGGCACGTGCGCTAGGGTCTCGTAAGGTAGTGCGGGATTCTGACCGTGAAAGAGCAGCAAATTGAAGGTGGCCTGACGCCCTTGACACCCTGGCTCGGAGCCAGCTCAGACGACCATGTCGATCAGGCGCTGGGCTCTTTGCGGGAGTTCGTGGAGGACCTGCGTGCGATGCCAGCGCCTCAGTCGAGGGTCGAGCATCGCATCGTCGTGCGTTTTAGGTGTGCCCACAGATGCAGTCTTAAAACTTGATCCTGCCTCAAGATCCTAAATCAAGTATGCGTGGACCATGTGTCGGAATCAAGTTGAAGGTGTTTTCTCCTGTTTGGCAAGGGAAGCATGGGGGCAGCTCAAAGTTTCAATTCAACGCAGGTTTTCATTTTGAGACACTTTCAGGAGGTGGTCGGTTTTTCCTGCAGCGATTGGTGTGCACTTGGAGTGTCCGACTCTCCGCACCATGGACCCAGGCCAAAGCACTTGCCAGATGTCAGCAACGGCGCCCTCTTTCGATGCACGGCCGGGAATGCCTGTGGTCGCATTGGTTTTGGAAGTGCTTGGCGCGGTGCCCCCTCTGTGACGTAGTGGAGTGTGCTAGCACAGACAGCTCAATATTACTGTATATATATATATATTATACGTATTCGGTCGCATTGGCCCAAGCAACCTCACTTGCAGTTCGACTGTGAGCACGCACGGAGGCCATTGTCTCCCATGATTCTTCAGTGCCATCCAGGTGGAGATTCTGCAAAAGATGCAGGATTCGGCTTTGTACGCACCGCTGGGCTCCTAGATCCGTGCTGCTGGGCAGGTCGGATTTGCAGCGCCAAGCTCCAGCGTCGATCTACACGGGGCGTGTGGCGTGTGCCAAAACAACAAGAATCAAGTCCACATACTCAGAGAAGGTAGGGCTTTGAATGTTGAGGATGGACTGTGTGAAAGTGTTGATGCATCTCTTGCTTCTCCTTCTCTCAGGGCTTTCTCTCTCTCTCTCTCTCACGTGCTCTGTCGCTAGGACATTTGTGCCTGACTGAACGTCAAGCCACTGGGTATCCCCACACAACGGCCATGTGCTACTCAAGAGTCAGTTCGGGCCAGTCACAACGGCACAGGCTCAGTCCCGCCAAGCTCCGCGAGCAGATCGCACTCGCCGCGTTGGGGGGCCCGTGCGGACGGATTTAGGGCGGAGTTGTTTAGCATCCAAAGCGTGCGTTTGGGGCCTGCTGGGAATCAACAAACAGTAAGTTTGGTAGATGATAGTGTAGAATAGACATGGGGAAGGAGACGCAGGTTGACCAGTTTCAATCAGTGCTCAAGTATCAACGAGATTCTCAGTCTCTTGAGAAGACCTGCAAGATGGTCCATGGCACACGGACTCCAGCTCTGCCCGCTTTCTCCTCTAGTCCAACCTTTGTCCTTCAATCAACAATGAAGCGCTGAAACACCGTGAAGGAGCCTCAGCCAAGGAGCCCAAAAAGATGGAGTATTAATTGGGCGGATCTTTTGGCCTCTGGAATTCTAAACGGTGGAACTTCTTCAGAAGGTCGGGCGGATCCCTTCCAGGGGTCTTGGGAAGAACACTTCCAAGGTTCTTTTTGATGGGTGGGTTTCGTAACTGAAGCTGTGAGAAGGAGACTGTCGGAAGACCGGAGTCACATACCGATGCTACTAGTTATGTTTATCATCCCCACAAAGGGATGTGCCCGTGTATGTATGTAATGTATAAAAAGCAATGCAGTGTAATGTAACGTAATACAATGTAATGTGATGTAATGTAATGTATGAAATGTATGCATGACAATCATCACGTGAGAATACGAAAGCAGTTTCCATTGCTCCTTGCCTAATACGGGATTCATGATTGGCCCAGGTGCAGGGGGCTCCAGACATATTATGCAGCAATTGTAACTTGATCATAAGCTCAAAAGGATAATAAAGGTTGATTTGCACTTGGAGCTTAACTGATCAAAACATCACCCACTGACGAAGTCTATGTAGAGTCTAGAGTAGTGGTGGGTTTACTTCCAGCAATTGGCTTCTCGGTATGGAGACTCCATGCCTTAGCAACGTGCCATGGCTCACACCCGCACGTGCGGGTGCGGTTTTGAGATGGAAATCTGTCCGGCTGATGCTCTTTTTCCAGTTCGTGTGCTTGTGCCCAAATTTTATTCTCTCCGGGACCAGGGTCGGCCCCACGAAAAGACCCAGCCCAGTCAAAGAAACATGGGCCAGACGTGTGGTCACGAAGCTAGTGGAGCCAGCCATCGACCAGCCCCTGGCCAGACAAGAGGTCGCCCACTCTGCGGCCTCAGCTGCTTTGGAAGCGCTTCAAGCCGGTGCCAATGCAACCACCGTTCTGATGCCCAGTGGGGCTGGCGACCTGGACGTTGGCCTTGAAATCGTGCGGGGCTTCATCGACACCCTTGACTCTGGGTCGCCGTTGCGCATCATGGTGACGGTGCCAAGCTCGCTTGCCTGGCTGGCACGTGGCATGTATGAAAGTAGCTTTGGAGAGTCCCTCACTTTGATAGATCTGGATGATAGGGGCGTATCAAGAGATCGGATTGCCAGAACTCTGCAGAAGAAGTCCTCCATGATCTTCCTTTGTCCTTATGATATGATCTTGAAGTTTGGCCTTGCTTTCATTGAATCCAAGATCAAGATGCCGTTGGATTTGGTGGTCTTTGCAACTGCACATATCCTGCGAGCTGGTGGCTTTCACAGCTTAGGTGCACGGGACGACGTGATTCCGGCCGCCCGACGGGTGTTTATTTCAGCCAGACACCTGGTGGGTATGGCACCCGGGGCGCTCTTGGCGCCAGGGCAAGAGCCAGGTTATCCGAAGGAAGCGCCACAAAGCAGGTTTGGGCAAGAAGTCTTCAGGCTCAACCATGAGGATGCAGAGAAACGTGAGCTCACGGTCCCTATTCGCTTGCAGATCATCCAGTCGGTCACCGTGCGTGAGGTGGCCGAAGAGCTAGCAGAGTTGCATGAGAAGCTGGGCATCAGGTCGATTCACATTGTGCCAAAACAGCCTAGGCTGGCGGTTGCGCTAGATGAATCTCTGGGGAAGTTGACAGGCGATTGTCGAGTGACCTCTGGGGAAAGCTCGGAAGCTTCATTTGATGCTTTGCTGGTTGCAGGGACCCGTCCTGGGTATGTAGCCCTAGCGCAGGAATTTCCGCGCCTCGCCAATTGGCAGCCTGGGAAAACAGCAGGTCTCCTGATTGTGGCTGGGGCTGCCAAGCACCATGCATCTGCTGCATGGATGGCTTTCGCCATCGAGGATGCCCGTGCTGAAGAGGCGTTGCAGAGAACCTCCGTAGAATATGGTCGCATCGACCGGCGATTGAAGTGGAACCAGCTACCTCTGGAATTGCGCAGGGTGGTCAATACAGGCAATGCCCGCGATGAAGCGGAAGTTGCCATCGCTCGGGGTGTGGAGATTCTTGGAGATCCTTGGGACATGTGGCTAGGCCGATTGTTGGCCTACAAAGACCGGCACAGCAGTGCCAATGCCCGCTTTTTGGCCACGCAATTTGGCCATGAACTGGGATCATGGCTTCAAGACCAACGTCAAGCGTGGGAACAAGGGATCTTGCACGAGAGGAAAGTGGCACGATTGAAAGCCCTTGGAGTGATGCTAGACAAAGAGGCTGAGACCTTTGCAAAGGGCTTGTCAGAGCTGCGGACCTATGTGGCCCAACAGCGTTCAAGCACGGTGCCTGCCAGCTGGGTCACCGACTCGGGCTTTATGCTGGGTGACTGGGTGGTGGCGCAGCGCACCGCCCAACGGCGAGGCAAACTCAGCTTGCAGAAGCAGTTGCTCCTGAAGGAGGCCTTCTTTCTGTGGCAGCCATCTGAAGCCCCATCATGGATGTTCGAGCATCCTTCCGATCCTGAGGCTGCAGAGCTCACTCACTCGATTGAAGAAGAACTTCGTAGCGTGAGATGGCAAACCATCACCGAGCGCCGCGGGATTTTCCGCGCGATGGTCTTGAAGCACCATCCGGACATCTCCGATTCCAAGTACGCGAACGATGCCATTCGCTTCCTCTCGGAGGCAAAAGACTGGTTCCTTGGGGGCTACTGATGCTGGCATGGTCTCCACCAGTGGTTCAGTTCCAGCAGCGTTTTGAGCCGGCAAAGCCTTATGGCTTGTAAGCTTTTAGCTCAGGCTGGAGATCTTTCAGCCGCTCTGCTTTTCTTAGCCCTGTTTGCATTCCCTGAGTAGCCTTGCCCGTGCTGACTCGTTGCTACAAAGGGGAGCACCGCGTTGGACTCACGACTCCACCGGGGACGGGGAGAGGCAAGGTCGTTGAGTCATGGTGAGTCCCGAGGCCGATGTTTCAAGGCAATGTCCAGCAAGATGCCCATGAGTTCTTCCTGGAGCACCTTGGACCGGATAGCCTCACAGGTCGTGGGGGGGTTAGTGCGATCCATCATGATCCACAGATGACATGGGGGGGGGTTGCTGTTTTCAGAGCTTCCCGTGATCTTGGCGCAAGGTACATGAATCAGTTGCACGACGAGATGTTGAAGCTTCACCAGGTTCTACGGGATGTGGAGTCGTGCATTCTCACGCATGGGTGTTTTCAATATTTCCTCTTGGAACTTCACTCTTGGACCATGAAGTTGTCCTGTTGGCCGACGTAAAAGCACCATCACCTGTGCACACTCAGGCTTTGAGAGGTGCTCATAGTCCAGTTGCCGATATATCTAAATTGCCACCGGTTGGACTGTGTCTGCGTAGCTACTTGCTGAGACCGGGCCCAGGGTTGGGTGGCGAAGAACAGCCATGCTGCCATCGAGGAGCCTGCGCTGGTGTGGGCCCAAGGGCAGCATCAAGTTGCGACTGAAACCTCTGAGCTGCTGAGCTGAGAAAACATGAAATGTGTGGCGCCCTCCTAGCCACATGTGATTCCTTTTTTCATCTTGTTTCGCCTTTTTCCTGCTCACAACTCACCGCGAGAGCATGCTTTGGCACATTTGCAATCACTGTGAGGCGACCCAAACCCACTTTGACGCGGAGGTGCAGCGACAATTGAGCTGCGTCCAGCCTTGACCTTGGGCCACGCAACACGGCCACCGGCACGCAATGGGACATTTCTTGGTTTCCCTGCCATTTCTGGATGGCCAATTCGTGAAACTCAACAAGCACTCCACGTGGCTACATGGACAAGCCAAGTGGGCCCAGAACACCCTCGAGCCAAGTCCTTCCGCCTTTTGGCTTGATTCGAGGTGTGGCCAGGCGCGAACCGCGCGGATCTCGAGGATTGGACTTTCGGGACTTGGAGTATCTTTCAGGAAGTCCGGTTTTAAGACATTGTTTGTAGGACTTTCGGCACTTGAACATATTTTTTGGATTAATAAGTCTGGCTTTTTAGGCGTGGGAGGTTGGTGCTCCGACGGCATCGATGCTTCCTCGCTCAGGTCACAGAGCGATTTCGAGATTTCTCCCTGGATTTCAGCTCAGCGCTCAGGGATCGATTCCGTTGCCTCAAGTGCTTCGGTAAATTGATTGGCCCAGAAGCATCTCCCTTCTTTGTGGGATTACTTTGTTGCGGAGGAGCCCCGGCCAATGTTTCCGTCTTGATGGTGATTTGGAGCATTCCAGATTCCAGTCATCTCTGTGATCTCACCAGCTTTGGCCATGCCTTTCTTCTCGGAGTTGGCCCTGAAGCCGCAGCTTCCTCGCTGAGGTGGTGAGGCCATTGCCCCGGAGCGGCTGCAGGCCATGCTGCAGAGATACTTCCAGCCGGAGACCTTGGAGGCGGACCTCCGGTCGAAGAAGGTCGTTCACCCGAAGCGGCGGGTTCTTTTTGAGCGGGTGTAACTGCCCCCCCTCAAAGAAGAACTCAAGTCCATTGATTCTTTGATCCATTAACGTGCTTCCAAACAGAGAGAAACACAGTAGTAATGCAAGCTCCCATTTCCCTTGCAATCAGGTAACTTTGCTGGACATGGCCCCTAGCACACCATCTCCCCCTGCACGACGTACACAAGCGGTGAACGATACTCAGTGTCATGCAATGTGAATGGACACAGAACATGTATATATATATATATGTATGCACATACATAATCACACACACATATATATATGTATATATGTGTGTATATATATATATATATGCAATCTGTCACGAAGTGATGATGTATTTTGACAAATAGAAACAGGGAGGAACCATGTGACGTACGGTCGAATCCACGTGCCATTTTGGCTCCAAGTAAGGGGCCCTTATGGCCCCCTTGGAGGGGGGGAAGTGGTGCGGGGGGGCCTATCTTGGTGGAAACCGACGAGGAGGGCCCCAACTGGACTTCACCCAGGAGTTTGAGCCGGTAGGGGACATCAGAGAGATGACAGCCAGACTCAAGGAGCTCCAGGACATGAGAGCCGAAGATGTCAGAGATGGTGGGGGCAACAGATCAGGGTCCCCGACCAAAGTCATGGATGTCGACTCCAACAGTGAGCCTGAGCAGGTGAAGCTGAGTCCATTGGAGGCCCTCAAGAAGTTGGGAGACGAAGAAAGCGGAGGCAGTGTCGCCAGGTGACCCAGTTATGTGTGACGAGTATGAGATGGGGCGGTCTGAAGTCCAGAAGCTGAAGTTCCACGTCCCAGAAGAGCTAAAGATGCCTTGGGAGAAAGGCTTCGCAGGCCTGGTGCTGGAGCGGAAGTCATCAGTCCTAGAGACCAAGTTTCTGGATGAGAAGACTAGAGCCCCACATGCAATTCAGGTGGATGAGGACGTGCAGCCCGAGATCAAGAAGGTGGAAGACGCATGGAAGATGGTGCCAAGCTTCAAGCTCGACGGTAGCCAGAAGATGCCGTGGTACAAAGCCATGGAAACGGAGAGGGAAAAGGTGATGGAAGGGTGGAAGATCGTGATAGATGAAGCCAGGAAGTCTTGCAAAGCGGCGGGCATGCTCGATCAGGTTGGTGAGGCAGTGCTCGAGGACATCTTTGCGAAGAAGAAGAATGGGACGCTGCAAGTGAGGTTGAGCGCCATGATGATTTACATCAGGTGGGCGAGATCCAAAGGACTTCCACCCTTCCCCATCGTCGAGGCCCAAGTGTACCAGTATGTTGACCAGCTGCGGAAGGATGGTGCCCCGGCCACACGTGCAGACAGCTTCAGGAGCGCACTTGCCTTTTGCAAGGGAACCATACAGGTGGAGGGGGTAGACGAAATATTGCAGAGCGGTCGCACCACTGGCTCTGCACATAGAAGCTACCTCACTAAGAGAGTGTTGAGGCAAAGAGACGCGTTGACTGTGTCGCAAGTGTCGCTGTTGGAGATCGTGCTGGCTGGTCAGGAGTTCCCCCTTCAAGACCGGGTATTCGCTGGGCACTGCCTGTTGTGTGTGTACGGCAGGTTGAGGTTTGGTGACAGCCAAGGTATAGACTCCGAGCCGAAAGTCGATGGAGGGTAACTGGAAGGTGGCACAAGCATTCACAAGACAGATGCACTGGTTGGCAGAGCGAGGAGAGTTCTCCCGGTGGTGGCACCATGCCAAGGTGTCACAGGCATCCCATGGGCGGAGGAGTTGCTCAAGCTGCATGGCGGGCTTGAGGCATTGCCGGGAAGACCCTTCCTGCCAACACCGGTGCCTGGAGGCGGGTGGAGTCAGGCGAGGTTGTCAACGCCTGAAGCTTCCATCTGGCTGTGTGAGCTGCTACAGAAGTATGCCATCTACCCCCAGTTGTTGGGGGACGTGGGAGCCCACTCCATGAAGGCAACGGCATTGTCGTGGTTGGCGAAGGCCATGGCGCCAGAGAAGGTGCGGAGGCTACTTGGGTATCACGTCAAGCCCAAGGACAAGAGTGTAGTGATCTACAGTGAGACCATGTCTGTACAGTTCCGCCGTGGCTTTCTTCGGTGGTCCTAGTTTGGCTGTGACGACTGCTTCCAGGTTCCTCTCATCTTGAGTCTCACGATCTTCGGACTCTTCTTCACTACTTTCACTTGTCACTTCAGCCAACTCAACCAACCTGTGAGTCGGCTTGCCCGGAGACTTCATCTCGAGCATGTCCCACTTATGTTCTGGGATCAACACCTCGTCACCATCCAGGTCGGCCTCCTGGTTCTCCTCGCTGGGCACCATGGGCGCCTTGACCCAGCGTTGATTCCGAGGTGCATCCGGCTTGAACCTGCCCTCATAGATGTCCGTGATCACATTCGTCAGGATGTCCAGCCCTTCAGCCAGTGCGTCCCTGCTGTGCATAGTGGAAGTGTGACCCCAGGTAAGTTAGCTTGCGGCAGGGTGATCTCAGCCGTCATGGTGAAGTTGGACTACGAAGTCCATGCCTGGGGGAGCAAGTGTAAAGTGTGTGAAGGCTACACAAGGTGAAGGACACAGCATCAGCGAGTGAAAAGAGAGTGAATGTGAGGCCGGGGGGGATGGTGGACAGGGTGTCACAAGTGACCATCGTAGACCGGCCAAGTGATGCATGGTGCATGTCGCAGGGAGTTGTTCCCAAGTGCATTTGACCTGACACCGGGTAGCCCGGCCAGGTCAAGTGGAGTAGGGTGGTCCTGCAGAATCAAGTCAGGTGCCAAGGACTGCGGGAGCAAGCGAGCGCGCGGCAAGACAGTCGATGTGAAAGGCAGGTGAGATCATGTGAAGAAGGTGCAAGGGCGGAGACATGTGTAACCCTAAGTGGACTAATGAGACAAGTAAGTGAGGTGCAATGTGAAGCGAATTCCGAAGTGACGTGAGGCCCGAGCGTGAGTGTTGAATATCTGAGCAGAGCCATGGCGACATTGACCGAATCGCAAGCGGTCTTTGAGGCGAAGCTGAAGGACATGGGGCTCGAGGCCTACAAGGATGAGATGGCGCGCAGAGGTTGGACAACTATGAGCACCTTTGCGTTCACCAGCAGCTGGTCGCCTGGGTCAGGAGATGATCAGGCGTTCATCCAGCAGGTGGCACGGCCGCTGACTGGGGCAGGAGACCACGCAGATCTACCAAAGTTGAGGAAGCACCATGAGGCCTACACGATCGTGGTAGAGCGGAAGACGAGGTGGGCCCAGTTGAAGACGATGTATGCCCACCTCCAGCTGGAACCAGCGCATCACGTCGTGGACAAGTTCCATTCGATGCGAGTGGAGGGCGAGCTGAAGTACCTGGCCCCGCATGAGATCCCAACAAGAGATCAGGAGTTGCAGAATTTGAAGACGGAGGAATTGATCAAGAAAGATGCCTCGGGGCACTTGAGGGCCCACGATGAGACCAAGCTGCCAGAGGCGGACACCCGCACGGACCTACGCCTCAGACAAGCATATACCAGGAGAGGCTTGGCGTTGGAGGTAGCTGACGTCATGAGCTTCACTGCCCACGAGCGCTTGATCGACAAGATGTTCCAAGAGTACGAGCGCGAAGCGCCAATGGGCTACATGGCAGTGACACTGGCCCAGGTGGCAGCTGCCGATCGCAGGGCATGGAAGCTGATGTCAGAAGAACTTCAGTGCGCCGAAGAAGATGCCCATAAAGATGCCGAAGGAGCTTTGGGGGTTGTCCCCAATGAAGCGCGGGGAACGCATTTGCTATGGCAGGGTACCAGTTGGGCAACTGCACGAGCGGCAAGGATGGAAAGTGCCCGAAGGGCTTGCATACCTGCATGAAGTGCTGGAAGCAAGGCCATGGCGCCATGCAGTGTACCCAGTGACCTGGGGAGGCAGGCAGAGTGCCGACAGAGGCGCATGATGCGCCGGAGCGAGCGCAGGAATCAGAGCCCATCAGGAGAGCTGAGAAGGGCTCCGCCCATGTACAGCAACTTTTCAAGAAGCCAGGAGCAATCCTGGCAAGCTGAGTGAAAACGCAGCGGGCGTTGTGCCACGCACGTTTGAGTTGTTTGCCGGGTCGTGCAAGTTAAGTAAGTGTTTGAAAGCTCATGGTTTTGCAGCCGTAGGCGTAGACCATAAGAAGTGCAAGAATAGAGTTGGACCTTGTATAGTTTTACACTCAATGGAAAGTGGCAGTATGACACCGCTAGCGAAGCTGAATATCCGTTGTTGTTGTGCCAACGCATTGCAGCCATCATCAGTAGGATTGCCAGTGAC